TTCATGCACAAATATAAAATTTAATTGGATAAAAGTTTAACATATTAGTTTGGGTTTGTTTTTTGAATTGATATTTTTGGATTTAATTATCTATGAGATATTATAAGAATATATTATGAGAAATTACTTAATTAAAATTAAAAATTAATTTTTGATAAAGGGATATATATATATATATATATATATATATATATATATATATATATATATATATATATATATATATATATATATATATATATATATATATATATATATATATATATATATATAGTTTTATGTTAGTAATATTGTTTTGTACTGTAAATCTGACCTGATTAAAATGGATACATTTTATGGTATGGGGTTTGTTGACTTTTTTTACATGGCTTGTTAAAATATGGTAAACACCTTGAAAAACTCAACTTGAAAAACTTAACTTATTAGGTCATGAAAGAAAAAAATTTAAATTTAAATTTTTGACATTAGTGGTAGTGATACTTTTTACTGTGTTTATTGTGGCCATGAGTAGTAACACACTTATAAATTACATCTATAAGTTATTGTTTGAATGAACAGCAGTTATTATAAATATATACTTAAAGTAATAATTATTATAAATATATGGTTAAAATAATTATTTTATCCCATACTTTAATTAAGAAATAAGAAGTAAATGAAAAGTAAAATTATAGTTCTGTTTTTAAAAAAACTTCAGGAATGTTGACAAACTGAAACCCCTTCTAAAGGTTTCCAATTATATGTTATTTTAAAAATTGACCAATTAATTTAATGTTATTTTAAAAATTGACCAATCAATATATTGTAAATGTTTTTTTTATATAATAAGGCAAACTAAATATTAAAGCAATAATGAAAAAATATAAACTTAGATAAAATTTCAACTACTTTATGGGTAACGTTTATACATCTGATAACATTTGTTTATAAATATATCAATGTGTACTTTATGGGTAACGTTTATACATCTGATAACATTTGTTTATAAATATAAAAAGTGAGCTGTAAAATTGATGTCTTCCTCTATAAGTATAAATTATTATACAAATTTTACAAGAAAATTTTAGTAGGAGCAAAAATTATTTAGTTTTGGGTAACAAAAATTATTTTTTCTGATGCACAGTCTTTTCTGCCATATTACATCTATGATAATGTGTATAGCAGGTGGTTGTCAGATACAGATTTTTTTTATGAATTTTCACCAAACAAGAAAAAAAAGGAATATTTTTTAAAAACAAAAAATATATAAAAATAGCTCTTTTAACAATATACTCTATTCTTTTAATATTAAAGTGGGTTCTAATGCTCTCCCACAAGTACAACAATACAAGTGAGAAGGTTTTGTGGGCACTTTAAGGATGGGAAGTTCACTTACTATTAGTGCAATAGTACAAAGAGTTCTTTATCATAAATAATACTTCATAAGAATTTAAAATTAATAATAAATAATAAAATAATGATAATAAAATATAATAATAATTGTTTAAAAATAAGATTTATAATAATGTAATGCAATATAAAATAATATTATATCTTATCATCTCTATGTGTTGCTTCTCAATTAATGTTTTGAATAATTGAATGCTCATTTAGGCCATTGATGTTTATAAGAGATGCTTTTAATTTTTTATCTGTTGGCTTATTATTCATCTGGTTGATAAAATTTCTCATTTTTTAAAAACTTTTTAATTAAAATTATTTAAATGCAATATAATGTGGTATTATTTATTTTTAATTTTTTGTTTGTTTATATATTATTTATATTTATTTGAATAATATTATAAAGTTGTTGATGTGTTTATTATTATTATTTTTTTTTTTTAATTTGTTTTCTTATCTTTTCATTTATGTTGAGCATGTTTTCGTTGCTAAACATTTAAAAAAAAAAAAAAGTTCTGACAATGTGCATAATGGTAGCATGCATTATGGGAGCTTAAGCTTTCTGTTTTTGAATCTTTTTGTTTAAAAAAAGTTAGTTTTTTTAAAAAGTAAATAAAAAATTAATTACAAAAGACTTTGTAACACCTGGAATTTTTGTGTGGTTATTGTTTCATCAAAGCAAAAGTAACAAAAGCAAAGTTACATTAAAGCTCCTAATGTATGGTTAAACTTTATAAAAATATAAAAAGTTTGTTATGAGTTACATAAATATAAAATTTGTGTCATTTATTGTTAATATAATAATTTACCTAAAGATAAAATTAAATAAGAAATTTATAATGAAAGATAATTGGTCTTTCTTTGAAAAAAAGTTAAAATATACTGGATAATAAAAGATGGCTAAGAACAGTAGTCATGGTTTACACCAAGCAAGTATGGTGGATTTTTATACTCTTCCATCTCCTGGAAAGGTAGGGTTCATTTATCAAAAATGAACACAATAAACAAAAAATTTTATATTTTGACATTAATTTTTAATTTTTATTTTAATAAATCTAAAATATATTGGGCTATATAAATTAACAGATAAAATAACAAATTTTTTTTTATGTTTTTTTTTTTTTTTAGATTTTGAAATACCTAAAAGGTAATGGAAATAATTTTTTGTCAAAATACTCTTGGGTTGGAGATGGGCTTGAGATTGCAGAAGAGCTGTTGGCTGACCAAGATGAGTTTGAAAAATCTTTTCAGGTTCTTAAAATAGTTGTTTAATTTAGACAGTATATTTACTTGTTTTATTATTAATGATATTGTTCAAATAATAAAGTTATCACAAAAGTTCTAAAAAGCAAACATTTTTTTTTTAAATTTTTTTATGCAGTTTGGTTTAATTCTTTAAATAGTAGGATGTATGAACTAAGTTTTATCTATTTTCAATTTGGTTTTTAAAAAATAATTTGTTAAATTTTAATTGTATTTAGCTTTAAAAATCAAAAAACGTTTTAATAATTTTTATTTTTTAGGAGACCTACTTAAAAGCTAAAAAACTACTGGAGACTGCTGTTCATCTAGCAGAAAAAAAGGAATGTGACCCACAAGAAATTAAACAAAAAGCTTTGCAAATTGAGACAGAAGTTAAATTATTTACATCCAAAATTAAAAAAAGAAGAGAGCTATTAAAAATGGCTGTCAGCTTTTATAAAAACGCACAAAAGGTATTTGTAATATAAATATTTTTTTTGCATTAAGAAGTTATTTTCTTTTGACTGTTTTTTTTTGTTTTTGTTTTTTTAGCTTACAAAAATGACAGAAAAGCTTAAAGAAGATATGAATTTGGATGCTACAAGTGCAGAACCTCAAAACTTTGATGAAATGCTTGAAAAGCATCGCCACGAATGTGAGGCTACTCTCGAAAAGCTATTAAGTACTGTACAAGAGGGAGAGAATCTTAGTGCTGAACTTTTACAAGAATCAAAGGTAACTGATAAAGATACTCGAACATCATGGTTCTCGACAGGTTTAAATTCACCTGAACAGTCGAGGTTAGCTGTAGAATTATATCTTAAAGAATTGAATTTAAACAGAATGCAATTGCAAAAACTATGGAAGGGAAGGCAACAAAAATTAGACTACTGGGTCAAAGTTAAACATTATGAACGCGATACAAACTTGCTGTATTTGGATGTAAAAAAATGGAATTCTTCATGGCAGAAAAAGGAACTTTCTAGTGATTTTAAAAAAGCTTCAAGTATGTTTGAAAGGTTTGAAAATGAGTTTAAAGCTTTTATTAATCGTTTTCATGTATTGGTTTCAGAAGGAAAAGAATTAGAAAAAGAATTAGCTAGTTGTGGTGTTGTTGTAACAATAGCAGTATCTGATACCGGAAAAGTTGACAGTGTAAAATATGTTTCAGAAGTTCTACGAAAACTTGTTTTAGAATTTGATTTTATTAAAAAAATTAATACAAGTTTAAGAGTAAAATATGAGTTTACTTTAAAACAGAGAAAACTAGAAGCTGATGCTAAAAAAGTTTCAGGTTGGATTCGACATGGAGAAAGTATTTTAGAAGCATCCCTTGAAGCAGGACATTCTCTTTATGAAGCTGAGGCTCTGTTGAGAGAATATGAAAGGTTCCATGTTGCAATAGAAGTAATATTTAATATTTTTTATACTTTTTATTATTTAATTTTTAGTATTTAATAAAATATTTTTCAGATAGGCATATTTTTTTCCATACAACACATCCTGTTGTTTTCAGACTGAACATATTTTTTTCCAGACAAGACATCTTATATTCACACTAAACAGACAACACATCTTATATTCACACTAACAGACAAGGCATCTTATATTCACACTAAACATATTTTTTTTCAGACTACACGTCTTGGTGTTTTGGATGTTTGCAAAAGCTCAGAAATTTTAATAAAGGAAGGTCATCCTGATCCTATTTGTATAAAAGCTATCATAGATGAAGTTGAATCAAAATGGCATTTTTTAATGAAGCGTTCAGAAGAACGAAGAGCTGTTGTTTTTTCTTCTTATAATTTTTACAGGGCAACTGATCAGGTGATTTTAAAAGTTTAAATTGCATAAAAATAATTTTTTAAATCCTAATTTAAAGTTGCATTACTAAATATCAAGGTGCATAACTAAGTTGCAGGTTGCTATCAAATTTTTGGTTTATTTTTTTTTAAATTTAAAGGTAATCTAGCTTTTGCATGGTTTTAATATTTTTTTTGAAATCTTAGTTTTTTTAGTCTCCATGTTATGCAAAAAATATATTTTACAGGTGGCTAAGCTTCTTGAGAAGTTCAGTAAAGATTGTAAGTCAGATGAAGACCCTTGTTCAAAACTATCTGATTATGACTTAAAACACAAAAAAGAAAAACTTGAAGCATGCATGAAAAATACAGAGCCTGAAAGAAAGGCAGTTGAGGAGGGTTGTCTTAAAGTGAAAGAATCTTCTGAAGAGTTCCTTAAAAATGTCCTTCCTGCATCTTCTGGATTTCCACTAATAGTTGATGGTTCTATTGGAAGGTTAGAAATAATTGTACATGACTTGGTTGAACAAGTAATAAGTCAAGAGACCTATGTTCTTAAACAATTGCAGTTGCGTAAAACTGTAGTTGCAGGATGTGTGGAGTATGTACTTTTTCAAGAAGAAGTTGAACAGGTAGGAAAAAAAATGTTTTTGAGTTGCCTTTTTTTATTATTATTAGCTAAAAAAAATTTTTTTTTTTAGTAAATAATAAAATTATTAATTAAAAAAATTGTTAATAACTTACTAATTAGTCATTAATAGTTACATTATCTGAATACTAATACAAATTAGTTCAATAATAGAAAATAGAATCTGAAAGCTAAAAATTTATATGCATAGAAACATAAAATAGATTAAATTCACTGCAGGAAAGTATTTGACATTGGGAAGGGTAAGGGATTGTTCATAGTGTACATATGCTCGAATGGGGGAGAGTGGGTCTGCAAATGGCGTATACAAGATAGGGAGCAGGTAAATTATAAAAAGTTGATTATAAAAGTAATGAGACACTAAATTAAAAAATTTTTTATAAAATGTTGTGTAGGTAAGTTGAAAATGTAGGTACTTTTAGAGAGGTGGAGGGTACTCAAAAAAGTGTATAGCAAAATGCAAAGGGGGGAGTCGAATTAAAAACGTACGTACTTTATGGATGACCCCTAACTGTTTCACATTTATTCTAATAATGTAATTCTTTATAATCAATGAAATATTATCTAAGTATTATTATTTTTTATTTTTTTTTTGATAATCAGGTTTTAGAATTAATAACAGAACAAGGAACAGTGGTTAGTGAAGGTTTCAAAGCATTGGATGAAGTTATAAGCTCTGAAGGGGTGGAAAGTTCTCTGTATGTTCAAAAACAAGAAGAGTATCAAAAAATATTCGAAGATATTCATAAAAAAGTGAAAGATCTGTTGGAACAAGCATCATTGCTTATAAATAAAACTCACTTTCATCGAACTAATATAAGTGACTTAGCAAATGCTATAAACATGCGCTACAAAGATCTTGCTTTACACATGAAACATTACAGAAAATCTCTTGAAATAAAGTTTGGTTATTCTTTACCAGAGTTAGAGGTAATTTACTATATCTTAAAATAACATGTTTTTTAAATTGTATTATACAAAACAATTAGTTAAAATACTATTTCGTTATACAGGTATTATTTTATTTTGGTTATTTTCGGAAATTCGGATATTTTTTTTAACTTTTAGTTTTTCCGGATATCCAAAACATTTCCCATACATACATGTTTAAGTATATATTTTTGTAATATATTTGTTTTTTAAGCCTTTTCACTCATCCCACATAAAAAAAATATAAGTTTGAAAAAAATAAATAAAAAACAACTCAGCTAAAAGCAAAATTAAAAGAAAAAATAAGGCAAAACATATTCTGGATTTTTTCCGGATATTTTATCCAAACAATTTTCCGGATTTTAAAAATATGACCTGGGTAATCTATGGTAATCTCTCTCTCTCTCTCTCCCTCTCTCTCCCTCCCTCTCTCTCTCTCTCTCTCTCTCTCTCTCTATATATATATATATATATATATATATATATATATATATATATATTTTATTTTTATTTTAATTCACCTCCTCAAGGCCGAGGAGGTGAATTAAAATAAAAATATATATATATATATATATCTGTGTGTGTGTGTGTGTGTGTGTGTGTGTGTGTGTGTGTGTGTGTGTGTGTGTGTGTGTGTGTAAAAAATATATACATGTATATACATATATATATATATATATATATATATATATATATATATATATATATTATATATATATATATATATATATATATATATATATATATATATATATATATATATATATATATCTGTGTGTGTGTGTGTGTGTGTGTGTGTGTGTGTGTGTGTGTGTGTGTGTGTGTGTGTGTGTGTGTGTAATAAAATATGATTATGCAAGTAAATTTTAATAAAATGTATACATGTATATACATATAAATAAATATATACATGTATATACATACATATATATATATATATATATATATATATATATATATATATATATATATATATATATATATATATATATATATCTGTGTGTGTGTGTGTGTGTGTGTGTGTGTGTGTGTGTGTGTGTGTGTGTGTGTGTGTGTGTGTGTGTGTGTGTGTGTGTGTGTGTGTGTGTGTAATAAAATATGATTATGCAAGTAAATTTTAAGTGAAATTATAATAATATTAAGTTATCGTTAATAAAAGTTATATTTCTAACTTTTACATATACGAAAGGGCGTTTTTATATAACTGAAACAAATAAAAAATCAACTATTGGTGTCTAAAGTATTAAAGTTTACAGTTTATTATTCATATATTTTCTGGCCACTCTTTGCGAAATTTCAAACTTTTGTCTTGACGTGTGCTTTGACGCTGTTTTTTTTTTTTGTTGTTGTATATTTTTAATGTCCTGTTGGTTTGTAGTCCTTTGGCAAGCAATATCAACCCAGATAAATTTGATGTCGTGATAATTGTACCTTTTAAAATTTGTCTGTATCATTTTAACATTTATCGAGGCATTTATACTATAAATTTAGTATATGATAATAAAGTTGAAAATTTTACTAACGCACTACCCTCACATTTAGGCAGGGGGCAGACGTTTTGGGGTATTTTCGTTCCCAAGTTTCCATCACCGCGATTTTTGCAGAACATTCTAATTTTTTATCTAAAACATCAAATAATTCTGCAGACGCCTGTGTATATAGTGGGTTTTTTTTTTTTTATTTTTTTATTTTTGTATATTTACTATTTCAATCACATACTCAGAAATATACGAATGTGATAATAATATTGTATAGTTAAAATTACGTTGCACCTTTTACTAATATCATCATTCCAATAGTACTGCCGTACTTATAAAATAGAAAGTAACTCCAAAATTTCTATTCCGAGATATTCTCAAAAAATAAAAAACGTATTAAGCCAACCAGTCAGCTTAGTACATGTCAGAAACTTTTAACATTATCAATTTAAAAACTTTAAAAAACACTTTATAAAAGAGCTTTCCTGACGTTTTAACGATTTTTTAAATTTTTTATTTAATTATCATAATTAAGCACATACAGTCTTTTTGTTATGTACTAAATTATTATCTGCACTGTTAGCGTGTTTTAGGTAAGAAAGAAAACGAATACGGTCTTTTTGCTTTGTACCATGAGAGCATATATATGTTAATGAAGTAAATTCCAGTTCAAACATTTTTTTTTTTTTTTTTTCACTTACTATTTTGTAAGTAGGGCAGAATATTTGTAGTTAGTTTTTTTTTTTTTTTAAATCAGTTTTTTTTACTTTAATTAGTTTTGATTTTTATTAGTTTCTTTAATAATTTATAATAATTTTTAACATCAGTTTAAAATAATTCAATTATGTTTTCAATTATGACTCAATTATGTATTATTTGTCATTAGTAAAAAAACAAAAATAGTTTTAAAAAGTTTTTTTGAAAAGCGTGGCTGTAAAAAAACGCCAATCTTCTGTATCATTTCAATATGTTCAAAAAGCTTATATAACGTAATTTTTTTGTTTGTTTGTTGCTTTTTTTAATTTTTTTTTTTTTTTTTTTTTTTTTTTTTTTTTTTTTTTTTTTTTTTTTTTTTTTTTTTGCGAATGATCCGAAAACACGCAAGGTAGAATAGAAACTTCCATGAGCAACTTTTCGTAAAATATTTTTTCTTGTTACTTGAAAATAATAAAACTATTCTTCTTGTTATTTAAAAATAACAAAATTGATTCTAAAAATGCGAAGAATGAAACAACATTTTCTACACAACTTTTAATCTTCTAAAACTTTAATTTTTTGAATGAATTATTTCGAATTTGCGAATAACTCTAGAAGTTCTTTTATTTGGTGTCTAAAAACTCAAAAATCTTTTTAAAAATTTATTTTGTTTCGTAAATCGTTATAAATTGCATTATTAATCGCGTTATTAATCGTTATTAATTGCGATAGTCACGCTATTTTCAAAATTCAAGTTCTACTTGTGAGTTCTCTTTGTTATGAAATAAGATATGTAATATATCGTTTGTTACAAAAAATTAAATTAGAAAGGTCACAAAAAAGCCGCGAAGATGAGCTAGAATTTATTTTTATAACTATTATTTCAAAAAAGTCGCTTTTGAATTTGAAGCGTTTTTTTTTTTTTAATTTCTTAAAAAGTTAAAATTATAATGAGTTTTTAACATAAGTTATTCAGATTTGTAAAGGTACGGACGCATGTATGTATGTTTGCCTAACGTAGATTTTTTTGTATTAAAAAGATTTTTCTTACACAAAAAGTTCGATAAAACTTTTTTCTCCTTAAATTTTTGCATGTTATAAAAAATTATTTAAAAAACTTATGAAATCATAAATGTTGCAATTAGTGTTAATAATTGTTTCCAAAAAAAAAATTATTGAATTACTCTTTCGTGTCTACGCAATTTAAGTAAATTGCCTAATTGTAGTTTTCTAAATATTTCCTGTGATGCATTACTGAAGAGAACGATTTGATCAAGAAATTCATATAGTTAAATTATTAAAAAATAAAAAAATAATAATAATCTTTGATAACATGATGATTTTGGAAGACGATGTTTTTCAATATAGTAGTGGTTATTTTTTCGAGTTTAAAGGCTTTATTATCGATAACAAGCTTTCTCAGTTTAACTTGGTATGTATATAGTTATTTATATAAACGCGTTTATTGTGTATTTTTACACGGTGCGGTATACTGTCCAAGGGGAATATCGTAAGAATTATACCCGATGTAACTGAATCTTTTGTTGCGGATATTTTCATAAGTTTTGGTTGCTTATTTTATTAACTTTTATTGATGTTGATTTCAAGGATGAAAGCGAATGGCCAAGTTTGTCATTACTGCGCGTTCAGTCTGCCGAGATTTCGAACGTTACTCGCCGTGATGTATCGAACGATAGTGGTATACATGAAATGACCGAAGAAAAGCGCAGATCTGTGAAAAGAATTGAGTAGGTTTTATTTTTGTATTAAAAGTTGAAGAAGTCTAGTTGAAGTTCATTTGCTTTACTGTTTTTTAATTAAATACTCGTTAACATACGACAAATGAAATTTAACAAATTTTTTATAGATTTGTCATAAAAGAATTAATTCAAACCGAAAAAGCTTATGTAGACGATTTAAGATGCTGTATCGAGGTATATAATTTATATACTTGTTGGATTTATTTTGTTTGCTTTCTGTTTTTTCTTCATTATTTTCTAAAAGTGATCGTAGTACTTGCTATTAATTTCTACCTTTGGGAATAAATTTGTTTAAGACTTTTAATCATCTTTCAAACTAGACGCTCGTTTAGTTTTAACCAATTTTAATTCATGTTAAGAAATCACTTTAGCGTAATTTTTTTTTTAATTATTTGTAATTTTTTCTATAGAACTTTTTATTACCTACGTACAACAACCCGCAATTTCCAGAAATGTTACAAGGTCAACAACACATTATATTCGGTAATATTGAAAGAATATTTGAGTTTCACAGCAGGCAAGATTTGCTTTATTATATAGTCTTAATTTAATTTTGTGTTATTATTTATATTTTATGAATGTATATTATCATACGAGTTTGTCATATATGTTTACATTTTTTTAGTATCTTCCTAAAGTGTCTAGAAAAATATGAACATAGTCCGGAAAATGTTGGTCATGCTTTTATTGATTGGGTACAACTATTTTGGTTTATATATATATATATATATATATATATATATATATATATATATATATATATATATATATATATATATATATATATATTTATATCAGGGGTTCTTCTATACCGTTTTTGACAGCGTCGACCGTATTTGGGCGCCAAATTAAAATTAGAGGATTTTTTTTTTTTTTTTTTTTTTTTTTTTTTTTTTTTTTTTTTTTTTTTTTACGTTTTTTACGGCGAATATTGCTTCTTCTTTTTTTTTTTTATTTTGCGAAAAAAAGACGAATTTTAGCTAAATTCCTTTGGGAAGGGGGTACCGCCACCCAAATTTATATATATATATATATATATATATATATATATATATATATATATATATATATATGCGTCGTTTTTTGAGAAAACTTGTTTTTTTTATTTCATTAATATTTGTTAATTGACTTCTAGGAGGACAGTTTTCACATGTACGTTGATTTTTGTGCAAACAAGCCAGACTCAAACGCGCTGTTAATAGAGCATGGGGAGAACTTCTTTGAAGATTTGCAATTAAAAAGAGGCCTTGGATTATCACTAGCAGCTTATTTAATTAAGCCGGTTCAAAGAATTACAAAGTATCAACTTTTACTCAAAGTAGGTGGTTTTTATTTGATATTGCTGTTAAAACAGGTGTTGCGTCAGAACCAGCATGCATTTATCTGATATTTTTTTAAATGAATAAACACGCTTTTACGTTGTAAACATTTTTTTAGGAACTGGTGTCTTCGTGCGATAGTGACGCAAATTTGCAGGTAAATTAAAACGTATTTATGATGACAAAACTAGATTTAATATTATTTTTTTATTTAATTTTATTAAAATTTTATTTTTTAGCTCGGTTTGGATGTAATGTTAAACGTCCCAAGACGCGCAAATGATGCTATGTACTTATGCATGATTCGCGGATTCGATGTGAGTTGAAATTTTATTAAAAACTGTTTATTTTTTCTCATTAAAATTTTGTATTTTGCCTCCAATTTATTGTTTAGTTATATATGAATTCTATTTCCTTTTTTTTTATTATTCGCTTTTTTGTAATTGATTGAATGAATTAAATGGTAAATTAAATTTTATAATTATTAATTAAGCTCAGAAAACGATAGTCAAAGCAAATAACATTTCATAATAGAATTTTTAAAAAATCAATTTTCTAACATTTAGCCGTTTTTATGTTGTTTATGAACGACCTAAGCTTTTTTATTTGAATTGTTTTTTTATGTTTAATTAACCGTAACTATCGAGGAATTAATAAAAAGCAATCAGTGCAATTGTGTTAATAAAAAAAATTCGTGTCACTATGTTTTACGCTAATTATATTCCGAAATAGTTTTTGTTTTGTGTTTGATAAGTGAAGTTGATTTGTTCAATTCAATATGAATGTGAAGTTAATGCGGGTGAGAAATCATTCGATCGTTTTTGTGCACCCTATTAGTTTATATATCCCATATCATTTATGATTGTTTTTATATAGTATACTTTTGTTTTACAAGTTAATGCAATTGTTTTGTTTTGATTGCCTACAACTGCTTTACTGTACATGACACTATATTCATATTATTTCTTACAAACAAAAATCATAAAAACGACCTTTGTATGTAGGAAGGAAGCTTGGAAAGTTTGGGAAAAATTCTCCTTCAAGATTCATTTTCTGTTTGGGATCCTAAGCATATATTAAAGAAGGGAAAAGATCGTCATGTATTTTTATTTGAACAAGCGTTACTTTTCTGTAAAGAGGTAAAAGATTCTAACGGCAAATGCACATTTACTTTTAAATTTAAAATGAAAACAAACGAGCTGGGTTTAACCGAGCATGTGGCTGAAGATAGTTCAAAGTTTGCCGTGTGGACTGGGCAGCCGCCATTTACAGAGGAAAAAAGAATCATTAAAGTACAATTGTTTTTACAAAAAATTTTATAAAATTTTATAAGTTGATAAAAGAATTTTAAGTTTAATTTAACTTACATATATTCATTTTCAATATCCTACATATTTTCAATATCCTACATATACTTCTAGGCTGAATCAAATGTAGTTAAACTGATGTGGGTAAGAGAAATTAGAGAACTTATGCAGCAATTTCAGTTTGGCATGTTGGTCCCACAAAGTAAGACTTTAATATACATCCTAATAATACCCAGTGGGCACAGGACATAAAAAAACTTTTTTTTAACTTTTTTTAACGTGTTGGACATCTTTTGAACGTTTTGGACGCTTTTTGAACGTTCAAAAGACGTCTTATTTAAGTCCTGTGCCTACTTAGTAATTGCGTATGTTTGCTTGTGTGTATATGCGGTTTTTTTTTTTTTTTTTTTGTTGTTGTTGTTTTTTTGTCTATTGTTACACGTATTTAAGTTTAATATTTTACTATAAAATTATATTTTTACCTCTATTTTTATTATTTATAATATATTTTTTGTTCTTATAAATAAATAAAAATAACAAAACTCAGAACCTAAAGGTATTATGTCCATTTTTTATTATTATTCAAAACAACTATTTAAAATCTCAAATAATTGATTTCTGTTAATATTTACAGAAAGATTTAAAAAATATATATTTCCTATTTTTAAAATAGTACACTAAATTTTTATTTTCATCTTTTCCATTTCTTCCATTACGGGAAAGATAAATAAAAAATGTTTAAACTTAGTATAAAAATAAAATAAAGTTTTTATTTTGAAATAACAAAACAAAAATTATTGCAATCTAAGAACAAGTTGCTGGGGAAAATAACTTTTATTTTAGTTTGAATTTAACTAAATTATCGTTGCTACACCTGTCATTGCGAAATATGTTTCTATCTTTTATTTAATGCGGGTGTTATTGCGAAATTCTTCGTTCTTGAGATATTTAATTTCTTAATTTGCAGTATTCTGTAGTATTCTTACTCTTAACTTTTTTAAAATAGCTTTTATTGTTAGTTTTAAAATAGCTTGATTTTACATAAAATAAGTTTCTTTTAAGAAAAATTAGATTTTCGGCTGTTAATTATATTTAATTGCGTTTTACTTGAAATTCGTAAAAAGCTGACGCATTATCTCAACAAAATCTAAAATAAAAACGAAACTATAAAAGTAAACATCAAGTCATTGAAATCCGGCTTTTTTTTACTATAACTTTATTTAAACAATAAATTAATTTGATTTAAATTTGATTTTTTTTTAACCTTAATCATAGAGTAAAAGTAAAATATATAACCGTTGCTTTGTGAAAGTATGTTTTAAATTAAGAAATAAAAGCTAAAATTACAATTTGTGCTTGCGCCATTTGCTGTTCTAGACATAAATTTCTGTCCTAAGATTAACAAAACAAAGATTAACTACCCCGTTTAGAAAGACGATAAAACAGCAATAAAACTATATGGTAAAATTGTTTTTTATAAACAATTAGTTTTTTCATCAACTTAACAACCTAGCTATATTGCTTTTAATACGCGTTTAAAATAAAACGTGTATTTTAATACGCGTTTAAATTAAAACGTGTATTTTAATACGCGTTTAAAATAAAACATGTATTTTTTCAGTATGATCAGAGTGTTGCAAGAATGAAATATAGTTAAGTAGCTAAGATTTAGGTCATTTTATAAGTAATATTCAAAAATTAGTTTAACTTTAATTTCTTTTATACGACTGAATTAATGAATATGTTGTTTTAAGCTTTGTAATCGGCATCGAGATGTTTTTTAAAAATCCCAATTAACAAGTTTTCTATCAAATGAATACTATAAAGTTTTACTATTTAATACTAATTCTAATACCCTAAAAATTTAAGTTTTTTTTTAATAACTTTGATTTCATAAACTCCATGTTTTTTAGCGTCTTTTTATCCACAGTCTCCTAAAAAAGGAAGTAAAAATAGAAAAAGTACAAGTGTCGCTGATATGAGCATGACGTCAGAGTAAGAATTATAATTTGTAATTTTGTTTCGTGAGGCGTCTTTAATGTTTTCTGGGACAGATTAATTTATAAGATTAAATTACGCGTTTTAGTGGCGGTTGCAATCGCTCTTCTGGAGACTTTGATACTGCTACAATATGCAGCAGAGTAAGTTTAACTTAATAAATCATTAAAAATGAACTTGTAAATTATTATTTTTTATTTTTTCGAGATTATTATTTATTTTTATTTTTTATTTTTTCGATATATGTCTTTATTATTTAGCTTATTATATTTAATTATTTTACAAAATCTCATATATTATCTCACCTAATAGACTTCTCTTGAAAATTGCGCTCGAACTGATATTTTTATTGTTACTGATGATTACATCGCTAAAAGCTCACACGAAATATGTTTAACGCGTGGTCAACATGTTGAAATTTTAAGTCGCCCTCCAGGCAGCCGTAGCTGGCGTGTACGGACATACGATGAAGTATTGGGACAAGATAGTGAAGGAATGGTTCCGTACAGTATTTTACGTAAAGTCGATGAATCGCCTATGAGAGGAATCAGAAACTCAGTGGAAACTTTGAATAGTCAAAGTAGTGAAGGTATCTTTCTTAATCATGTTTTTAACAAATTTATTTATAAGACTGGTTCATCTTCCAAAATGTCTTATTGTGATAAATTTAATTCTTTTTGATTTTTTTATTTCAATAATTTTGTCTTCCTAAAAATCAATTATATTTGCAAAAAAAACATTTTAATAGAAAGGTTGTCCGAGATCAATTAGTTTTTAAGATAAAGTTAATCATATAAGGACTAGATATTGCCATATACGAACTAGACTACTAAAAAAAAAATTTAATTTTTACGGTGCTATTGTTAATAATTTGTATATTGTTTAGTTTTTTAAGAAAATCTGTATGTAAAGTTTTATTAATAGTGAATTTTTAATAATATTAGAATGTATTAAGTCATTAGTTATTGTAATTCCACATGAACTTTAAGATAGTTCCCCCTCCCCTTTCGTACTTTAGGTCAGAAGGACGTTGTTGATTAGCTGCTATTTTTTGATACTACTTGGTTTGATATTTGTAATTGTTTAGTTAGTTACCAGGCTTTTAACTATGTGGGCTGGCTGGCTCAAGAAAAAATAATTGAATAAAAATATAAAAATAAGAATACTTTTTGTTAAAAAATATTTTTTTGGAATAAAATAATAAAAGTTACTTTTTTAGGCCTATTCGAGCCAGTGGACATATGCAATCTCAGACCTGTTAATTCTAATATTGACAAAATATATTTTTTAAGTTTTCAAATGCATGGCTATTAATACCTTTAATTTTCAAATATATGGCTATTAATACCTTTAAGGCTAATGACCCTTGACTCTTTAACGATCATCGGTTTTTCAAATAAATGGCTATTAATACCCATTAAGACTAACGATCTTTGAGTCAGTGATGTTGGGCGATTGTAGACCTGTTTAATTTAATTTTGAAAAATAAGCTTTTCAAATCTTCAGTTGAATAAGTTCTGGTATAAAGGTCTTGCATTAATTATTTTGGTCTAGATTTAAAATTTAGCATACCGTTTCCATTATTTTTGTTATTTAATTTTTTTGTGTTTAAGTATTTACTCAACTAAAGAGACCAGTTAAGCTATTTTTAGGATGAAAAATACAGAAAACCTAGCTATTTATAAAAAATATTGTGTAATAAGAATCTTTAGTAGCAATGATTTTAGGTTTATATTTTTTAAATTTACATTCCTTAAAAAAAAATTCATAAAAAAAGTAAAAGAAATAATTTATAAAGAAAATAGCCACTGCTATGCTGCACTTTTATTGGTGTTTTAAATTAAAATATTTGCTATAATTTATTATTATGACGTAAATTTTTTTTCTTCCTTAGATTCTTATCAGCAAGATAGTCCGAAAGGTTCCATACAATCTATTTCGTCGGATAGTAAAAAGAGAAAAAGTACAAAATCGGAATTCATGTCAGGGACATTAAAGTGAGTCAAATAAAACGCTTTTTGTTGTTATTGCATATACATAAAAAAATATTATTCATATAAAATTTTCCAGAAAAATGCTTTTTAGAGTTTTCGATTCCCTTGTGCTTAAAAGTATTGATTCATTGTTTATTATGAAAGCTAATATCTCAGATTGTAACAAAACAAAATATTTTTAATTTTGTCATACTAATTCCAGATTTATATAAGCAAATATTTATATATTACTTTTTTTTTCTTTAATTTATTTTTAAAATATTTAATATAATCAGTGCCGTGGTTGGCCAGGAAGTTTAGGCTTTTTTTTTTTTTTTTTTTTTTTACCATAAAATTTTTTTATTAATATGGTGGAAACCTAACAGGTTTCAGGGTTGTTCCTACCCACTAGACATGGCACTGAATATAATAATTGAATTCTTATTAAATTTAAGCTATTTTTATTTTTTAATATATGATTGTTTTTACAGAATGCGAACTTGGGCTCGTTCGTCTGGCAGAAAATTAAATGCAAATATACGTTCTTCGCAACCAAGTACTCCAACTCGTCAAAAAAATATCTCCGGCGGAGGAACGAATAAATTACAGGTTGATCCTTCTTCGAATAACCTCTATGTTAGTGTAATCTAAAAATATTAAAGAAACGAAAAATTATTTATTTTCAATTGTAAAAAAGGTTGTAAAAATTATTGTACCTATGCTAGGATTAAATTTTGATTTTATATTCGAATTTTTGCTGGCGAATCGAACTTTTTTATTTGTTATTTTGTATTCTCTGAGAATTCTTTTGGATTTTAAAGCGTAATAAATTTTTTATTGTAAATAAAATTGTGAATAATACAAACGCATAAAATAAAACTAATCTCTAGTTTTTAATCAACCTGAGCTTCTTGTTGAACCACTTATTATGATTGGGTGGGAATGGACCTTATCCAGTTCAAAAAAAAGCTAATATTTTTTTACAAAGTGATATCTTTTTAGATATAGCAAAAAAAATTCTTATATAATAAAAAGTTTCATTTTTATAACCATTGTTCATCGTCTGTTTTTTACTCTTCTAGGCGCTACTGGGGGCCCCTAAGAAAGAAATTGATTTGCTTATAAGACCCAGCGACGGTACATACGCCACGCTCGGTCGATCAGCCTCACGAAATACTGAGAGAGTGAAGTTTTTGTCAGCTTTAGATCACGATGATCCAGGCTTCCAAGAAGGTGATTATGATTCAGAAGACTCTGTTAATGATATCTGTACAAACTTAAATGGTTCAATAAAAGAAGATTCTGACGAAAGAGCGTCAACTAAAAGAAATAAAATATTAACAGAAATGATTGAAACCGAAAAAGAATACATCAACGTATTAGAAATCGCTAACTTGGTAAGAAATATTTTAAATTTTTATTCAACCAATAACAAACATTTACAAGTAAATTTTGTTTTAATTTCTATTAAACCTTTAAATAAGATAAATATTAAAACGAGCGTATTATTAAGATTCGAATAATGTTTTCAGACAATTTTGCCAAGTATGAACAAGCGAACGGATGTTCCTGATGACTTGCGTGGTAAAGAAAAGGTGATATTTGGAAATATTCCCAGTTTACTTTATTTTCATAAAATGTTTGTTAAAGAATTTGAACCGTGCAATTCGGCGCCAGAAAATGTTGCTTCCGTTTTTTTAAAGTTTGTAAGTAAACTTATTTGTGGTTTATTTATTTATTTTTTGTTATTTTTTTGGTATTCATTTGTGCGCTTTATGCTGTTTTATGCAGGAAAAGGAGTTTGAGATGTACATACAATACTGTGCAAACAAACCTCGATCAGCGGCACTTGTTAGTGATTATTTGCAAAGTTTTTTTAACGATATTACAGAAAAAGAAAACACTATTGGCTTAGAGGATCTTCTTATGCGACCTGTAGAAAGAATAATGAAATATCATTCAATGTTGAAAGAATTCACAAAGTATTCATGGCGATCGGGAAAGGATACCATACAATTAGTAGTACGCAGTAGTGTTGCTAACTCATTGTAAAAGTATATATTTTTTGATTTTCATTCGAGTTTAGGTTATTTTTTAAAAATTATTTTATAGAAAGCATTACACCAAATGTACACCATACTGAAAAAAGCTGATGATGTCATGAATGTGGGAATGATGAGTGGGTTCCCTGTAAGATTTTTTTTCGAATTAAAAATGGAAAAAAAAAACATAAAATAAAAAAAGCTAATGAAACAAATTTTATTTTATTAATGTATCTACTACAGGATAATTTGAATAATCAAGGACTTCTGTTGCTTCAAGATACAGTTTTTGTTGCCGACGTTAAAGCCCAAGTATTACCTGTTGAGAAAAGAGTGTTTTTATTTGAAAAACAGTTAATATTTTGTGAACCTTTTGAAAGAAAACCAAAATTACTTACGTATATTTATAGACACTGTATAAAGGTAAATAATATATAAACACACACACACACACACACACACACACACACACACACACACACACACACACACACACAATAACTCAATTTATTGAATAATTATTGAGTTATGTTCAACTTATGTTTGAACGCGTTTATTGTTAATCGAAAAGGTTTTATATTTAATTTTAGACGAAGAATTTAGGTTTAATGGCAAACTACGATGAAGATATTTGCAAACTAGCTATATGGGGTAAACAAGAAAACGGTTCTTCTGAAATTTATGTTATGACAACTAGATCTCCTGCTTCAAAAAAACTGTGGCATGAGTCTATTCGAAAAATTATTGAAGATCAATATGTCTGTGATAAAGGTATTTATTACGCGATTTAATTTTTTCTTTATTATAATTGGGTATTATAATTATTTATCATTATTATTATAATTTCATTGTTATAATCAACATATTTTTGACGTAACCCAACTTATTTTGAAACAGTAGGTTTAAAACGGTAATGTTATATAAATTTTTTTTTTTAATACCTTGTTAGTTTAATACTAAATGCATAATTATTAACTTTAAACGCATAATTATTAACTTTAACATAATTATTAACGATAACTTTGTGTGTATAAAATTTAAAAATGTTCCGGAAAGACGATACAAAATGTTTTTTTTTCACCCAGCTATTATGCTATTATATTTGTGTAGAAGTTAAGATGTTATTACCATTTTTAAATATGGGGAAGGAGTTCTTTTTATTTTTTCTTTATAAACTTTAAGGAGTTTGAAACTTTTTTCTGAAAATCTGTATCGCCTTTTAGGAACGCTGAAAGAAATTTTAAATCAAATTGCACCAAAATTATTTTCTGCGTCATGCACCTTTTTTTTTTCCGCACAGCACTAATACTTTTTTTTATTATTTTTTACATAAAATAAAATGTTTACCACTTAGATGAAATACCTGCAGATTTGGGTAAAGTTTTAAACAACTACAACAGAATATTCAAAACTTCTAACTTCGGTATGTTTATGCTTATATCAAATGAGGATGCTTTGGAACAAAAATATCAAAAAAAAAATTATGATGTCAAATAGCACTCCCTTGAAAAAGTTTGGGTTCTTAAATATAAAACGCTCGTTTTTTTAATATAAAACCGTTTCTATATATAAAACGCTCGTTATAAAAAATTAAAAAAAAAATATTTAGGACAATAAAGTTAAATATATTATTATTTTGTTATTTTAACCACATTTTCTCTCAAAAAAGTATATATACTTAATTAAAATAATTTAAAAAAAAAAATTATTTAAAAAATTTAAACTATTTTTATCACTATAATTTTTAACTATAAATTATCTTGCACAAGCATGATATTAATAAGGCTGCAATGTCTTTGACGTCGAAATCGTCATTAAAATTTTTGTTAGATAAGCGTGGTGTTGAAAGTAATTAGTTTAACTGGCGTACCTTAAAAATAGTTTAAAAACGTGAAAAAATAGTGATTTTTAAAAGTAAATTACTTATTTTGTGTTTTTACAATATATAATATAATGTTTATTAATATTAAACAATATTACGTGAATAATTCTCTCTCTCTCTCTCTCTCTCTATATATATATATATATATATATATATATATATATATATATATATATATATATATATATATATATATATATATATATATATATATATATATATATATATATATATATATATATATATATATATATATATATTAAGTGAATAATAAAATAAAAACAAATTAAACAAAGGTAATATTATAAATTAATTTTTTTTTAGTACCAAACATCTCTAACGAAAAGTAAGTTGTTTAAATTGATATGACGTAGGTAAAACTTTTTCTGATTTTTTTTTTTTTTTTTTTTAATTGATTGATTTGATTAACAGTCATTTGGCAGGTACACGTAATTATATTGTTTCTACATTTTTAACAAGCTTTAAAATGCTTACTGTTTTCCAGTAATCGTAGAAATATCGGTTCAACGATTTCGCATCAAGTACGATTTTGTATAAATATTTTCTTGCATTATTCGTACAGCCTAATGTTATTTCTACAACAAATTTTAGTTAAATAACAATTGTTGTATAAATGTACAAAAATCTATTATCCTGCAATAATTATTGCACAGCTAAATCTTAAAACTTTCGTACGATATTTTTACTACTGTTGGAAACCAGCCTTACCGCGACAGCTTTGTTAATATTAACCCGCAAAAATTCTTTTTAGTTTCGATCATTCTGTTGACGAACTTTGTCGCACCAAGATATCCGTAAGGCATAGTTAAGATATTTTAAAAGCTTTTAAAAACAAAATAAAATATTACTTTTTTTTTTTTCTTTTTTTTTTTGTGTAAAAAAAAAGAAATTTAACTTATAGGAAGAAAACAGTAGAGATAATGTTTACAAAACACCGGTAGCCACCTTGCAACACGTTAAATTAATTCCACTGGATGAAGCTAAGTCGCTAGATGATCTTACAAAACCATTTGCGGTATTTTTTTATTATTATTATTATTTTATTTTTCAATGGATCAAAATAGAGAAGAGTTTTTTTGGAGTTGACTTTTAGACTTTTAGGAAATATTATAAACAAAATGATAATCACTAAAAAAAGGTAAAGTAAGTAATTATTATGATATAAAGGACTAAAGTTTGATTTACTATAGAGAAGAGATTTTTTTTTTTTTTTTTTTTTTTTTTTAAGCTATTATATTCAAGGACTTGAAAAACATAAATAAAATGATTTTATATTAATTATATGATTATATTTATTCTTTTTCTATATCTTTTATATAATTTATCTTAATATTTTGATATAAATATGCTTTTTATATTTATTTTTAAAAAATTTATAAATTTATTAAATCTTAGTTTAGTCTAATAATCTTTTACTTATTTTAAAAAGTAAAGAATTTAAAATATATAATTATTTAACAAAAAAGTATAATTATAGCATAAAATTGCGTAAACAGGTTGTGGGAGGGGCTCCGACGCACTAGCTACGGCACTGAGTCGATGTTTTTTTTTGTTGGCTCGACAGTTTTAATTTAAAAAAATTTCTTTGAGCAAAAATACGCACGAATGAATTTATAATTTATTTTTCTAGCATCTAAGCGAACAATGTTATTTGCATTTTTGTTTTCATTTTTGGGTCGTCCATAAAATACATACGTAAAAAAATATATAAAAAGAAAATGCAAATATGTTAGAATATAACAAATAGTCAGACTAGTCAGACTAATTTATATATTCTAACATCTAGTCAGAAGGTGAAACCGAGTATACAGAAACATTACAAAACTTTCTTTTTTTCTTTTTCTTTTATAAGATATCTTTCTAAATAGTCTTATGAGTTTTAAAAGTTGTAAAGTACACTGAACTGAAAAGAAAATTTTTTTAACATAAAATTTATGTTTAAAAAAAAGATGATTTTAAAACATTTAAAATGTCTTTAAGTCTTTATTTTTTTTTTACTATTTTTTAAAAATAAATTTCAGCATGAAAAATATATTGTATTGGAAACGCGAGAAAAACAAAACGCAGACGAAATGAGCGTTAAAGAAAAAGAAATAGTTTATTTGGTATCGAAACAAAAAAAAAATAATGATTTTTTTATGGTACAAAACACTTCAAAAGAACAGTCAGGTTTAGTTCCCATTAAAATTTTAAGAAAACTCGAAAATGAAAACTTGCTTACTCCAAATTCAAGGTGAGTCACTTGTCTTTTATCTGTTGTTAGTTTTCTATTTTTAGTAAATTAAAATTATTCATTGTACTGGAGCTTTTATTTGCTGGTTAAACGCATTTGATCTTGACCTACTGGTCTTTTATTTGCTGGTTGAACGCATTTATTGTTAGCCTGAGGAGCATTATTGTATTGTTGTTTACAGTGAAGAATTTATATATTTGAACTTTAATATAAAATTTTCACCTTTTTAGCTATGATAAAGCAAAAAAAGATTCGTCCAAGCGTTCAAAAACATTTTCGTAAGTAATTTTAACTGAAAGTTATGAGATTTTTTTTTAAACGAATTTGTTTGAATATTTGTTTACATTAATGTGAGTGCTAGCTATTGATGATTTGGCAAATACACTTAGAAACATATTTTACCAGAATGAAATGATTTAAATTATTAACGCCATGGTCTTGAACTTATATTTGTATCCTTGTAACACCTGTTCAAATAATTTGCACTTTTTGAAAAATTAAATCTTCCAAAACTTTATCAATGAAATTCGTATTTTTTTATTTATGTGGTTTGCGTGTAGGATTTTACTTTATATGTGGGACTCTGTCAGGAAAGGATTTTGGTTAGTAGTCAGATATCAATCTGATGTATTATTTCCGTTGTGCGTGCCACAGTTTTTTAATTATAATTATTAAAGTTGCAATGTTTTTTATCGTCGAAAGTCGTCATTAAGATTTATAAAAGCGTTGTGAATGGAAGTAATTAGTTTAACTGGCGGTGTATACAGAGGCGATTCTACGAATTAAATGAGGCAGGAGGGTGAATCAAAAAGTACCAACTGTGTTTGTATGGGGTGTAAAATTGCCTCTGGTATAAGGTTTTACTATATAATTAGTAAAACTTTATAAACCGCTTTTTTTAATTTTTTTTCATGCAAATTTTAATTTGTTATTTTAAATATTTTTAGTTCTTCAACGTTGCTAAGAACTGCTTCTCTTCGTCGTAAGAAAAGAAAAGACAAAGATAAAACCGGAAGTATTTCAAACATAAGCGAAATATCATCTCCTATTGTTAATGAACCGAAACAGTCTAGTAGTGCGAACAGTATCAATTTCAGTATTGATTCTGATTTAGATGAACTTCATAATGTTCAAGCTGACAACAGTCTTGATATAACTACACAAAATGTTAATTCTAAACAAGCTCCTATTATAGATAATCCTTTAAATGATGTTATAATTAAAGCTGGTCTACCGCTAAAACTTTCATGTATAATTAATGCAGGGTCCCCTCCTTGTATAACTTGGGGGTTTAATGAAAAAACTGTAACTTCAAATGACAGATATAATATAACATGCACTAATAATTTATGTACATTTGAAATAGCAACTTCTGAGCCATGTGATAGTGGTTGTTATACGGTAACAGCCACCAATCATTTTGGCAGCACATCTTGCTCATGTAATGTTCTTATAAAAACTGAAAGCAATCTATCTTTAATATTTAAACCTATAATTAGGACGAATACTTCGTCATCAGTTAATTTAGAATGGAACCCTCCAGAATATATATTTGTTAAGTCTTACACAATACAGCAAATAAGTTCCGCTGAATGGGAAACAGTTATAACTGAGTGGCACGATACTATTGCAACGATTAATGGTCTTCATTCTGATCATTCTTATATGTTTCGTATTGTTGCTTATTATGACACTGATAGTATTATAACAAGTGAACCTTCGGATCCAATTAAACTATTTAAAGGTAAAGCATACTTATATTCTGAATTATTTTTCAAAGGAATTTTTGTTACAGATTTCACATATTTGTAAATTTCTTGTTTCAATAGAAACAAAATTAACTCACAAACCTTGCGAAATAAAGTGGCTCGGAAATATTGAAGAACATTATCAAATATGTGGAGAACTTGGACGCGGTCGTTTTTCTGTTGTTAAAAGATGTGTACGCAAAAATACGAAAGAAGAGTTTGCCGCAAAAATATTTCGAAGGAGACTAATTTCCAAAGAAACTGTTGAAAGTGAAGTCGCTGTAATGCAATCTTTAAATCACCCTGGTGTTGTTAAAGTGTTTGAAATATATGAGGCTCCAAAAAGCTTGATCATTATTCAACAAATGTATTTGTTTTTACTTTTTTTGTTGTTGTTAAATAGTTTATATTTTTTCTAATTTTTAGAGATCAATTTATTTTTAAGGTTATCAGGAGGTCGCTTGTTTGATCATATTGTTGTGATGGACATGCTCACAGAGAATCTCGCCAAGTTATATATTATACAATTACTTAGGGCTGTCCAATATATACATAGTCTATCGATTGCTCACCTCGATATAAAACCGGAAAATATACTTTTGTCAGATGGTCCTGAAAATAATATTGTCTTATCAGATTTTGGTGACGCTATTAGGTTACGGTCTGTACCTTATCAGCATGAAATGAATGGCAACCCAGAATTTTTAGGTATTTTTCTTTTAACCTTTTTTGTAAAATTAAGGAATTATTTAAATTTTATTTATTTATTTATTTTTATAAATTTTGGTAATAAGTCGTAAGTAATAATTAATTCTTAGTTTTTTATAATTATTATTTGAGTTAATTTATTATATATATATATATATATATATATATATATATATATATATATATATATATATATATATATAATATATATATATATATATGTATATATATATATATATATATATATATATGTATATATATATATATATATATATATATATATATATATATATATATATATATATAAATAATTAAAACTTAATAACAGTAAAATTTCATATTTATCATACTTTATAAATTAAATAATAATAGTAATAGATGTTAATTTAAGAATTTAATATATCAAATAAAAATATACCTAATAATAAATCATTTTTTAATGAAATTATTGTATGATTATTAATTTTTTACAGCTCCGGAAATTATTACAGGAAAAGCAGTGAGTTTATTGACCGACATGTGGAGTATTGGTGTTGTTGTTTATGTCCTTCTGAGTGGTGTGTCTCCATTTTTTTCTGATAACTCAACAAGACTTTGTGAAAATATTACACAACTCAGGTACAAATTTCCAGGTGATTTTTTTGGTGATATTTCTGATGAAGCAAAAGATTTTATTGAAGACCTGTTAGTAGCTGAACAATCTTTAAGACCAAATGCCAAAAAGTGCTTAGAATCCACTTGGCTAATCACTGATACTGTTAACAATGAACTATATGAAAAATCGATTACATTATCACGCTTAGCAGCGTTTAACGCTAGAAGACATTATCAATATGAAATCTCAAATAATAAGTTACCCGGAACACAAAATATATCACCTTTAAAAAAAGAATCGGGTAATAATAGAAGATAACGAATTATTTGTAAATAAGCTGTTTTGTTCTTAATATTACTTTTTATTCCTTTTATCAGCCTTGGTATGTTTGTTGAAATTGTTTTAAATTTCTAAACATTTAATGCGTATTTTTGAAATTTTGTTGCTTTTCTCCCCAATTTTTAATTAATTTGTAATATAAGATTCTCTATAAGTTTCTTTTGTAACTTTTTATTTATTTATTTTTCCATTCTTCGATATCCTGATGTAAACCGTACACTAAACGGAAAAACGAAACATTTTCTAAGTGTAACATTTACCTTTAAAATGAAAATAAAATAGTTTTTAAGACTTGTGATATTTTTTTATATATCTTTTTACTATATCAAAACTTTCGTGACTGAATTCTATTTTTGTGTTAATCCTGGACCTTTATTGTTTTGAAAGAATTTTTTTTTTTAACCTTTATCGTTTAATAAAAAAGCCTGTCGATTTGATGTGTAAAATTTAATTATAAAACTTTTTAAAAGTCAAATTTTAATATTAAAAAGATATAGTTGTTTTAGAAATTATAAAAGCAAAATTTTCTTAACATAAATCAAAATTTTTTAGATTATTTTGAACATAATTTGAACTTTAGGCTTCTAAATACGTGTCCCAAGGGTTGAATCATGCAAAGGGGTTAGATGATTGCTCTGTCCATATTTGCAACATTGCCAAGAAAAGCGGCGTGAACTTTCTTTATTAAATGCTCTTTTGTGGTACTCTGTGATAAAACTGTTAAAAACCTTGAGTCAAAAAAAATCAAAATGGATTTAATAGATAAAAATAAATATATAACTAATTGAAAAAATAAGTAAAAAACAAAAGTGGATAGCATCTTTTAAAATCAAAAAAATTTTACGCAATTTGATTTTATTTTATTATTATATTTACTTTTTAAACTATATAGGAGCAAAAACGAATACAATATATATAAGATAAAGCATAAGAATTCTCAAGGATTTTATTTTGGGACTCGATAGATTACCGTAAGAAACACGACATTTTTTGCATAAATTTCGTTCTTAAAAGAAATACTTATGAAATTGGAAATTTATTAATACAACATCATTTTTGTATTCGGATAAAAATTAACTTCAAAAAATGAAACAGCGGTTTTTGCGGTACATAAAACCGTCATTTATTATGTAATTAACGAGGCTAGTTTTTGTGGGCAGTGTAACACTTTTACTTTTAAAAAATAAGACTTTAAAAATGTTGCATTTTAACTTAATATCTTTTATTTGTTTGACCAGCCGAACTAAATATCTTTCAAAGCAAAGTTTTTAAAATTACAAAATAATAACTTAAATATGTACTTACTTGTAACAGAAGAATTTTCAGGTAATTTATATGAATTCTTTCAAAGAAAATCGACCAAGGTTTAATTAATATCTTCTCGTAACTGTATCTATTAATTGTACTGTATTTATTCATGCAATTCATATATAATTGATAGCCATTCTTTAAATAGAAATAATAAAACGTATTCTAATATATCATTAGAATTTTCATACCAAAAAAGGTAAGAAGTTGATTTTCATACCAAAAAACGCTAAGAAGTTACGTTGATGCTTTTTGACAAACGTTTGTTAAACACATTCGCAATATTAAAAAAAAAATTAGTATTCTTAATCCGTGTATTAGACTACTATTATTATTAAAATAGTAACGCCTAATATGTTTCCAGTACTATTAAATAGTGTCAAAAGGACGGGATTTTTTTTAGGTAAAAAGAAAATGTAAAAACAAAATGATAACATCTAATATATATGTATATATTAACAAAGTAAAAATTTTAAAATAAAATAAGATTTGAACCAATTAAAAGTTCTATCCTAAAGCAAAAATTTTTGTTCTTTAACCTTTGAGCATGTTTTTTTTTTTTAATTCTCTGGAAAAAAAATTATTTTTTACGTTATCCCTATCAGCATGGAATTCATGTAAATAAAAATTTTTGTAATTCATGGGAGACATGAATTTACTAAATGATTCGTGCACTACATCATCAATTTAAATTAGTTAAGTAATCATATAATTTATAAAATTAAATATAAAATTAAACTATGTTGTATATAATATTTGTATTATAATACAAATATTAGTAAACTCTAAAGTTATTCTAAATTGCATAAAATCATTATGCAATTTAGAATAACTTTAGAGTTTAGACGTTATTTACACGTTAACAAGTCTAATTATAGAAAACAATTAAAGATCAAATAATTTTTTAAATATTTTAAACTTATTTTTTATAAATTAATTAAAGGGCGTTGTTTATGTAATTGCATCAGGTTGTACCGATTGGTTGTGTCAAATGTATTGTATTGGTTGAGCTTGATAATTCGAACCATATAAAAATAGCTTACAAATTTGCGACCAGACAATATATACAGAATGGTTTCATTTGTTTCATGATGTCTATGAGTAATAAGATTGGGTAACAATCCATCAATTTTATCAATATTGTTATTCTCTTTAAAAAAATTACTACTATTCAATATGATTTCTTCTAATCCATCAATTTTATCAATATGGTTAAGGAAATAAATTTAGTCTTTTAAGAATATTTTGGAATATGTACTAATCAAGAGAATGTGTACCCAGTGCCTTATCTTCTTCAGGTATTTTTTCATTTTGTCGTAACGTATAGCAAGATTTATATATCCTATCCATAACATCCGTATTTAAAAACATAACCGCAAAATATTAGTTATTACAGTTATTGGGAAAAACGGGCCAAAAGGGCGAATGAGGCAAGTTGGCTTTTCGTGTAATAATTACTTTAGATAAAGCAGTTGGTTGTTTTTAAAATTTTATAAAGTTAAAGATGATTGTTAAATATTATATTATGTAGTGGAACTTGTAAAATTCTTATGTTATGTAAACAGAGAAAGAAAGAAAAAAAAATTATGAAATTTATGTATTTTTTTTCTATTATACATTACATTTTTTTTTTCTACTTGCAAACTGCAAAACAAACAAATTCATGCACCAATGAATAATAATAATATATAAAAAAACTGACAAAATAATCTTGCTTTATAATTATTATTATACAGTTTATACATATTTATAATTATTGACAGTTTATGTCAATAATTATTGATAATTTTGCAAAAACTGTATAATAATATTTGAGTTAAACCAAAGATTTAACTCAAATCGTTCGCATCTTGCCCCGTCTTTCCCTATATTTTATAAATATTTTTGACTTTTAGTTAATAATAATAATTTTTTTTTGGTTCGTATGATTATGTTAATGTATGTTAATCATGTTTCAAAACTAAACTTAATCAACCGAATTTGCAAACTTGCTAATTTATTAAGACCTCAGCTATGAACTTACCATGAAGACCACCTGTTTCGCCAAACCAACTGAATACTTTCGAAAATTAAATAATTTCTGCTTTGCATGATTGTTTGACGACTTCAAAGTTGTTTTGTTCAACTACTCTCAAAAAAACCTGAGTCAAAAATAGTTTAAAGAGAAACAAAACAAAACTCAAAATAATAAAAACATAAAATTTTAGCATTAAAAGAAAACACATTTTGGCATTGGAAAAGTGAAACAAGTGCTGTAAGCAAGAAGTTAAAACTCACTAAGAAACAATACCGAAAACGGACAAAACTTGAATCTAATAGTGATGTTGCAGAAGAAAGGAGTTGATGAAGAAACAGATTCAAAAGTGGATTATTGTCATCTGTCTTCTGATAATGCGAATGATGTTGATGTGTTAAATCGTTTAATAAATTAATCTGATGCTAACAAAAAATATATGCATCTCAAATATATGCAATTAATATCTCAAACAAAAAGACTATAATTATGACATTTTCAAAGAAATCCAACTCCAAAAGTGTTTATCAGTTATTTAATATACAATGCAGTATGTAAAGTAATTTTTTACCTTTACACAACATACAGTGTTATGTAAACTAATGCAAGTGAATAAAGTATTTACAATTGTTTTATACTACATTTTATATTGAATGGGTGATTGAATTATTTTTTTATGTACGTTATACTTGCGTATAACTTTTTTTATTTTTTCGTTTTAAATAATTTTTTAGTTACTAAATTATCGTTATTTGGATTTTTTTTAAAAAGAAGTTTCTAAATTTATCTTTATGCTTCAAATCGGAAAATTCGTAAACTGTTAGTTTTTGACAAAATGATTTTTTTAAACAATTCTATAATATTTAGATTTTTTTTTTAATTTAATATTTAACGTCAATTTAATTTTTTTCTCCTCAAAATCAAAATCCATTCCCTGTTAAAAAAACGTTCTGTAACAAATATTATGCTTCAAATTTCTATCGATAGACTGTAATAAAAAAAGAATCTGCTATAAGATTCTTAGGTGTTTATCTTGATGAGAATTTTACTTGGAAAAACCATATTAATCATATAAGCACCAATGTTTCTAAAAATATTGGCATATTGTATAAAGCGCGACCTCACTTAAAAAAAAGTTCTATTACTCATTTATACTCAGCTTATAAATTACGCAAATATTGCATGGGGTAGTACCGAAAAGAGTAAACTACGTCTATATTGCCGTTAGAAACTTGCGATTCGAGTAATTAATTATGTGGATCGCTCTTCACATTCGAAACCTTTCTTTGATGTCTAAAAAATACTTGATGCCTACAAACTTAACGTCTTTAATGTTTTATGTTTTACTTATATGTGGAAGAACAATTTATCCCTACCTGTTTTAAAAGACCTTTTAACATTGAAACTTTCTAATAAGTACTCACTAAGAAATAATGATTTAATAAATGAACTATTTTGTAGAACAAATTTTAATATATTTTGAATTACTTATCACGCACCTTATCTTTGGAATAAAATAGTTTTGCTTTATTTTGATATTTTTATTCGTTTTTATGCTTTTAAAAATAAATTAAAAGATTTTATTCTTGCAATAGATGGCATTTTAAGTTACTATTAAATTGAAATAAACATTGATTTATGAGATTTACATTAATATTTACATTAATAGATTTATTTTCTTTGATTTATATAACAGATTTATAAAATTTATTATTATGGATTTTTATTTCATATTTATTTATTTATTTATTATTATTATTATTATTATTATTATTATTATTATTATTATTATTATTTTGTTACTTAGGTGCCCCAAGAAGACCTAATGGTCTTGTCACAGAACAAATAAATTTATTATTAAAAAGTGATTATTATTATTACAGATACATGATTATTACTATGGATTTATTCTTACAGACTTTTTATGGTCATTCTTTAGATTTATATTTTCAGTTTTTATAGTATGATTTTTATTCTACTATTTTGTATTTAAAATTATAAAGGTTCTGATGATAAGATCATTGTGATCTTCTTTCAGAAGCCTTTTTGTTCTTGTAAAATATAGTGTTTATTTTACGACAAAGTAAACATAAAAAAAGTTTGAGATTTATATTATTAAAAATTATATTTTTAATACTATAATATTAAAAATAATAAATATAATTTTAAATTAAAAATAATAAAGTTTGAGATTTTAATATTAAAAATACCTTTTATTTACGTTATCATGACAACTTCCAAACATTTTGACATTTTCTTGTATTTTTTAAATTTTCAAGAAGAATTTCGCTATTATTACATTATATAATTGATGAACAAGACCTTTCAAATGAACAAGACCTTTCAAATGAACAAGACCTTTGAAATGAACAAGTCCTTTCAAATGAACAAGACCTTTGAAATGAACAAGACCTTTGAAATGAACAAGACCTTTCAAATGAACAAGACCTTTCAAATGAACAAGACCTTTGAAATGAACAAGTCCTTTCAAATGAACAAGACCTTTGAAATGAACAAGACCTTTCAAATGAACAAGACCTTTCAAATGAACAAGACCTTTCAAATGGACAAGACCTTTCAAATGAACAAGACCTTTCAAATGAACTAGACCTTTCAAATGAACAAGACTTTTCAAATGAACAAGACCTTTCAAATGAACAAGACCTTTCAAATGAACAAGACCTTTCAAATGAACAAGACTTTCAAATGAACAAGACCTTTCAAATAAACAAGACCTTTCAAATGAACAAGACCTTCAAATGAACAAGACCTTTCAAATGAACAAGACCTTCAAATAAACAAGACCTTTCAAATGAACAAGACCTTTCAAATGAACAAGACCTTTCAAATTAACAAGACCTTTCAAATGAACAAGACCTTTCAAATGAACCTTCAACCTTTCAATCTATTCTATAAAACTAAAATCTGATAAGTTATTAGAATTATTTAAGTTTTACTTAATTAATATATCTTTAACAAAATCAATTAAATATGTTTTAATTAACACATAAAGATGCAAAAATATTTACTAAATAATGTGCATATAAATGTCAACAATGTACAATTTGTTA